TAAAAAAAAAAAGAAAAATGAAAACCTATATCCACCCCAAAATTTGTACACAAGTGTTCATAGCAGCATTGTTCATAATAGCCAAAAAGTGGAAACCCAAACATCCACCATGATGAATGGATAAACAAAATGTGGTACATCCATAGAATGGAATATTTCGTGATAAAAAAAGATACATACAACAACATGAATAAACTTTGAAAACATTATGCTAAATGAAAGAAGCCAGTCACAAAAGACCATATATCATGATTCCATCTATGTGAAATGTCCAGAATAGGCAAATATAGACACAGAAAGTATATTAGTAAGAGTTGCCTAAGGATGACAGCCAAAGGTATGGGGTTTCTTTCTGGGGTGATAAAAATGTTCTAAAATTAATCATGGTGATAACTGTACAACTCAATATACTAAAAACTGTCAAATTGTAAACTTTAAATGGGTGAATTGAATGGTATATAAATTATGTCTCATTAAAGCTACAACAAAAAAGATACATATATAAATAAAAGACAACTTAAAATTCTAAAAAGTTTTATTATAGAAACAAAACAAGGAGTGTAATTAAGCATGAAATAAATAATTTCATTCTTGATAAAAGTACATTTAATGTTACAAAATCTGAAGTAAACTAGTTTATAACCCAACTCTTTTAAAGGATTTATATTTATTGAAATTAACTTTTATTCTTTTGCAAAGAGGGAACTTGAGTACAGGAGGAACACATTTAATCTGTTATACATTGTTACAGATATGATTCAGAAGTCAACATACATAAAAGCAGCTATATTCACCTTTGCTAAATAGCTGTACAAAGCTATTAACTTAAAATATAAAAAAGTTATTCATGAGATATTTCAGACTAGAAGTTTGGAATGCATGTTTCTATCTGATACCATTAATCCACTAAATATTGTGGCCAGATGTTCAGGGTATCTCTCATAGAACTGCACACACAATTACAGAAGTCAGGCAAAATGTTGCCAATTCTAAGGGACATAAGCAAACAATTCAAAGATGACTTTATGGTAAATTTGGCAAATCTGGTGCTTAAATGACCCTTTTTATTACAGGAAACAAGTAAGTATAATGTTTAGAAACCTTAATGGATGGAAAATAGTTGAGTCAAATATATTCTTTGCAAGTTTCACATCTAATTTTATTTAAAGTGTTAACTCTAAACATTCAAAAAGTTAATAATGAGTTAGTATTTTAATAAGAAATTGTTCAATTTTACTTGCAACTTTTCAAAATTGTAATTTCAATACATATTGGGATCTAAAACTATTAGCAAATAGCAACAACAGAGCCTATATATTTTAAAAAGTGGACAAATGAAGAAAGAATATATTGGGATGTAAATTAGGAAGTAGTTATTTGCTTTACAAAAGGTTCTTAAATATACAGAATAATTCATAACACGTGATCTTTAAATATTCATGCATTTAAAATAAATTTACCAAAAAGATTGACTTACATATAACTTTTAGGAACCCCATCAATTTTATAAAGAGAGGCACTACTTTTATCTATCCACTAAAGGTAATAAAATGTTTTAACAGTTCAAAAATAGAAAGGACCAAAAAACAAGTGATTTTTCAAAAACAAAACAGTTTAGTAAGATGGCTAGGCTATTCACTGTGCCCTTCAAGAAATTAATAACCTACTTTTTTAAAGCATATTTTCCAGCCCCAACTTGTAACACACTTTGACCTCCATTTCTGCTTCTCCTTGAATTGATCTGGAGTACATGGAAGAAGTCCGCAACAGTGAGGCTACCTGGTGGTTTGGGTTAATGTCCTGAAAAAACATGCTTTTTTATATATATGTCTATCCTTGTCAATGTACACAAAAAGTAATGAAGAAAAAAGTTAGTTCTGAAGTACAATGCATACTCCCTAGGCTGTAAAATCCTACTAGTCTAACAAAAAGCACCAAGTTATAGGCGCCAAAGTTGGAAAAAAATATAAACCAGCACAGAGTCAATATCATATACCTTATCAATTAAGTTTTATTTGTTAGACTGTTTGGCATTTGGGAAGCTCAATAAATTTAGCAGGCTAGAAATCCCACTGGTACCCTTATCAAAGATTTGCTTATACTGAATTAAAGTTAATACTGAAAATAGCATAGTGAGGAGTCTTCCTCTGTGCTTAATGATGAGGAAAAAGATACCAAAATCTTCTTACAGAAAGGAAAAAAGTCCATAATATTTTTTTGAAAAATAAAAAGTAAACAGAAGTTAAGGCACTTATTTCAATGGTTCTGCAACATCAAGGGCAAAGTATGTTTTGTATTTCTTTGAGAAATTCCTTCCATCCTAAAACCATAAACTTTGCTCCTTTCATAGCTTTTTATTGTCAAATCTAACAACTGTAAATTACCCAAATGGAATTACTTACAGAATTTTTAATCATTTGTTCTCTACAAATAAGCGAGAAAATTAATTAAATGCTCCTCACTCAGTTTTCTACTACTACTGTTTTAACTACAGTTAAAATAGAAGTAAGCTAATCTCTCATATCCAATATTATCACTTCTATAATAAAGCTTACATTTTCCTTTTCAACTGATGCTGACTGAATATTTATCATTTTAAAAAATTAAAAGTTTCTCCAAATCTATTTAAGAAATAAGTTGACAGAAGCAAAAGCAACTAATATGTATATGTCAAAAGCTAAAAACAAAAAACACACATCAAAACTAATTCAGCATATTTGATCATAATATAAATCAATAAAAATTCAATTAAATATTTCATGCTACATAAGTTATTCTATTTTCCTTTCAAAATATGCAAGCTGACTTTGAAATTGCATTGTTTTACATGCTCTGATCACAAGGACTACCAGGTGACTATTCACTGTACACTTAGGTAACCACGGTCATATTTTTCTTAAGATTTTATTAATTTATTTGAGAGAGAGAGCATAAGCAGGGGGAGAGGCAGAGAGAGAGGGAGAAACAGACTCCCTGCTCAGCAGGGAGCCCGACGTGGGGCTTGATCCCAGGACTCCGGGATCACGACCTGAGCCAAGGGCAGACACTTAGCCGACTGAGCCACCCAGGCATCCCCACAGTAATGTTTTCATAAGGCTTGAAGCTAAATACTAGTGACTCACTATTAAGATGTATAGAGAACCTGAAATGCCCTGCCTTTAACTATGTTAATATAATTGTTAAAAACTATATAAAAAGCATGAAATGAGAACCAATAAAACTAGTGCACCAGATATATGACACTGCCATCAAACAATTATTCTGAAGTGCCAATAAAGCAAAATATCCTAGAGCTAATCTAAGAATGCATGTGCTTTTGTACTTAAAAAATACAGAAAATAAAGTTAATGAAAAGATGCTTCCTTCTAATGTAGTAATTTAGAGTACTGAAATTGTAATTTTTACAGCACTCTAACAAGTGAAAAATTTAAAAATCTAATCACTAAACATGTATAAGGTAAAATTAAACATGCATCCTGTCTTATTAAAATGATACATCTATCCCAAATCTCTTTATACAGCCCAACTAATCATTTAAGAATTTCTCTTAATAAATAATTAAAAGTATGAAAACACTTAACCTAAAGGAACGTAGCATTTAGGTTGTGAAACTGTGCTGTGAATTTTATAATAACTGTCATTTTGTTCTTAATGTTGAAGACTGTACCATAGTTTCATAAATAATAGCATTTGTGTTTTATAATAAACATACCTGTATGTATAACTATTTTTAATAGCATCTGCCCCATCTCCAGAAATTGTTCATTTTGGTGTTATGTCATTTTAGTCATTAATATCAGAATATTCTTATTCTGATAAAGATTTAATTTTTCACTTAATACTTCAGTATAAAATATATGAATAGACTGTATACCCCATTCCATATCTTTTAAAAACCTGAACAACATTCTTTTAAATATCTGTTTTAAAAAATATTTAGGTAACAGGAGTTACTGTTTTATCATGATTAAATTGGTATTAAATTTATGGGCATAAGTGAAAAAAGTTAACCACTTAATAGTTGTAAAATAAAATGCAATACCATGTACTATATTTTACTAAGAAAGTGCACAGTTATATAAGCAGCAGATGATGAAAGCAAATCATGGAAAATCTGGATATACCTTTATGTACATCCTTCAAAATCACATCTTTTATACAGTTAACAAATTTTAATTTAAATGTCACATATTTTCAGCTAACATTTAAATTAGTAATATTATAATATTTCAATTCTATTATAAACCATGAAATACCTTCAGAAACTGTCTTGAGGGTAAGAAGAGTTCCTTCCTTCTAGTCTATAATTATATGACATTAAATGACATATTTATTAAATGTTATGTTTGAGAAACATACTCTGACCTTGAACATATTCAAATTCAAGACCTATGTTATGACAGAATGAAGATTTATGAGGACAATTTTATAACAGTTGAGAAGATAATGAGAAGATAAAGTCTTTAAAGACCATGTAACATTGTATAAGGAAAACACCTGACCAGAATATTACAGAGTGGTAGATTTGACATTTTACCAAAGGACAGTAATGCTTGATGTTCTACTCCCTGCAGAACTCTGAATCCAGTTAACAGCAGGAGGGAAAAAGCAGCAGCAACATTTCAAATGTCCATACTCTGATTTCTAGAAGACATCATGTAGGTAAGAAGAAAATCACATTTTATTTCAAGTGATGGAAGTCTTTGAAATGAAGGCTCTGCTATCTTTCAAGACTGAAAGGATATCACAGTGTTGATTTTATATACAAAGTAGGATCTGTTCCAGTATACTCTAGTGAAATAATTCACATATGGAGAATAGTTAATTTTGACCTCATGACAAAATCGCCCATATTTTGAGTAGGTTAACTTGTCACCTTCTTCGCAAACCACCTATCAAAAGATAGGAAACACAGTATTAAAAAGGCTATGAAGTTTATAGGAGAAACACAATCAATGTACAAGTGACTATATTTATATAAAAAATACATTATTGCTACACATGGACTATCTCACATTGTTTAGCAAATCTAGAACTCTCTTTATAAGAGAGTCACCATCTCCATTAAACTCTTCAGCTTCTCCCTGGGATTGAGACCAGTATAAAGTGTTTCTGGTTTTCAAAAAGATTTTAAAATCCTCAAATATGGAAGACTATCTCCCTAGTCCATTATCATTCCTCTGACTTATCATAGAGCCTACTAAGATTGAGAAATGGACATATTCTTAATATATATTCAAAGTTTTCTCCTCATGTAGAAATGACTCACAATTATCCAGTAAGCAAGTTTTTGTGACTTATCCAGTGCAAACCTTTACATTCTTACCTTAACGATGTTCACTAAGATAGCTTAACTAGCTTGAAGGGTAGATAGTAAACATTCTTCTAATGCTTAGGAAAGATGTCAGAGAACCAACTTTTAGAGTAAAAAGATGGAGTAGCTTTAAGTCCATGCCTGGTATTACATGAAAGAAGAAATAATTTGATCTTTTAAATGGAGCAGAGAGATAGCCAAGATCAGAATTAAAAGGTCCCAGATAGTAGGTAGCAACACAGCGGTAATTACTGAATACCTGATGTTTAATAAAATTCCATTTTGTCACCAATTAAGCCAAAGATCACAGATATCAAGTACCAACAGAAAAAATTCAAAATACATGTAGCAGAACACAGAATATGTTTATATGACAGGATGAAGGGGTCATGAAGAAAGACAAAGGTGGAAATCAGAAAAACTCATTTCTCACCTCCAAACTGGTCTGGGACAATAAGAGAAAGAGCTATTACTTAGGAAGAGATAGAAAAAATCTTGGCTGCAACCTGACTAGAACATGCATGTCAACTCAGAATGGCCAAATGAAATTCTTCTAAGGTCATCCAACCCCAACTTTCCCAGGACTAAAGGCACCCATTCCAGACAACACTAATTACCAGATATACAAGCTCCCCTGTCCTTCTTTTAGTTGTCAGATATATCATGTATACATTGCAGGCTGAGAAGTAAAAAAGCTTGGTAAAACAGCCAAAATTATTGAAAAATTAAAATACAGCTAAATCCTAAAAACCAAAGTAGCTCTGAATACACTAATCTTTGTGGATATCAGAGACTGTGATAATTTAGTAAGCTATTTTTCTAGCTATGGATCTAATTATCAGAAAATTCTCAACATAATAATGTGACAATGTAACCAGCTGCTCTTTAAATTATAAAAAGGTAAAATAATCATTCAAATCAAATTATGCCATCTTCTGCACATAAATGTGGGACATGAACAAGTACAGGCAACGAATAAGGAACCCAGGTATTGGTCAAATTATTTTTTTCTGCAAAAATGCCCCAATTTTCTTCTGTACATTGAAAAAATACTTCAAACTACTTTTAATGCACTCCCCCACTGTTATATAACTTTTAATTATATTCTTAATTAAGTTCTAGAAGTAAAATTTGATGAGTAAAAGTTTAAAAAAATCATTTTTTGGGGCGCCTGGGTGGCTCAGTTGGTTAAACGACTGCCTTCGGCTCAGGTCATGATCCTGGAGTCCCGGGATCGAGTCCCGCATCGGGCTCCCTGCTCGGCGAGGGGCCTGCTTCTCCCTCTAACCCTCCCCGCTCTCATGTACTCTCTCTCTCTCTCATTCTCACTCTCTCAAAATAAATAAATAAATCTTTAAAAAAAAAAAAAGTCATTTTTTGTCAAAAAGATTCTCTCAAATGGTTACTTACATGGCCATTTGCAATGTCTAATAAATCTTTCACCCTACAGCCTCTCATGGTTCCCACCTCATTGCAGATAGCATCCTCTACAATTAGGTAATTAGCCTTGTAGGATGTCAGTATTTTATAAATATCCTCAGCAGATCGCTTTGAATAGATTTGATAGATCTGAAAGAATATAATTAAAACAGTAATTTTAAAACATTTAAAACTTGTTATTTGAAACTATACACTGAGCATCTACTATGAGTTAGTATTAAGCACTATCTATGGAAAATAAAGATATTCACTAAGACTTGATTCCTTTCCTCAAGAAGCTTATATTCATAATTCATTCACTGTCCACTGTATATCTTCTTTGGAGATATGTCCCTTCAAGTCCTTTGGCCATTTTCCCCCCAGATTTATTGAGATATAATTGACATAACATTCTGCAAGTTTAAGGTGTACAATGTATTGATTTGACACACTTAAATGTTGCAAAATGCTTACTTACCCTAACATTAGCTGGCACCTCCATTGTGTCACATTATTACCATTTATTTCTCTTTTTTTCCTTTTTTAAAGACTTTATTTATATATTTGACAGAGAGAGAGCGTGAGCACAAGAAGGGGGAGCGGCAGGCAGAGGGAGAAGCAAGCTCCCCGCAGAGCAGGGAGCCCGACGCAGGGCTCAATTCCAGGACCCTGGGATCACAACCCAAACCAAAGGCAGATGCTTAACTGACTGAGCCACCCAGGCACCCCCATTTCTTTCTTTCTTTTTTTTATGAGAACATTTAAGATTTACTCTCTTAGCAACTTTCAAGAATGTAAATACAGTACTCTTAACTATAATCACCATACTGTACATTAGATCCCCAGAACTTATTCATCTGATAACCGGAAGTTTGTACACTTTGACCAGTATCTCCCCATTCCCCTACCCTCCAGCCCCTGGTAACCATGACTCTACTATTTCTATGTTTCTATGTTTTTGGCTGTTCCTATGAGTTTGGCTTTTTTAGGTTCCATATATAAGAGGTATCATATAGTTATTTATCTTTGTCTTCTTTCACTTAGCATAATGCCTTGAAGATTCATCCACATTGCTGCAAATGGGCTTTTGCTCATTTCCTAATTGGCTTGTCTTTTTATTATTGAGTTATAATAGTTCCCACAATTTTTATTACCATGTACAGAGTATTTCATACTCATTTATACAGGAGATAAAATCAGCAAGATTAAACATAATTTGACCACTGTCACAAAATACTGAATGAGCAAGAATGCTTAAAACTCATGTCTTGGGGCACCTGGTGGCTCAGTTGGTTAAGCGTCTGCCTTTGGCTCAGGTCATGATCCCAGGATCCTGGGATCAAGTCATGCATTGGGATCCCTGCTCCCACCCAGCAGAGAGCCTGCTTCTCCTCCCTCTGCTGCTCCCCCTGCTTGTGCTCTCTCTCTCTGTCAAATAAATAAATAAAATCTTTAAAATAAAAATAAAATAAAATAAAATAAAACTCATGTCTTGATTCCATAGTGTTTTTCATTACAAGTCTGCTGACCTTATTAGATAGTAAGTTCTGGATCTTATTAAGTAATAAGGTTTTTCAGTTCTTCTGAAATGCTAACATAGGAGTAGCTCTTGCTATCCTTCAGAAAATAATAAAATCACAAATGTCCAGCCCAAAGTACCACATGCTATATGCCCTAAAACTACTGAGATTTGAAATCTAGACTGGACAACATCCCAACCTATCTGATACTCAGCAGCCATCTACTACATGTTAGGGTTGCCGGCTATCCAGCACCTTGCGGTCCAACGTCCGCCAATACGACAGAGATACTCACCTGAATATTCTGTGGTGCACAGAATGCTAATAAACCAAGAGGAAATTTCTCCCTCATTTTACTTTTAAATATGCTTCAATGGAAATAGTTCTATCCAGCCTATATCTATTTATTGTTTTTCACATACATTTCTATTTTAAAGTTTTGAGAAACTGTAACATATTCATGGGGCATTAAAAAAAAAAAACACCTCTTTGCAATGGCAATATCATCACTGACAGATAGGGTTTCTCAATCTCAGCACTACTGACATTCTGGGCTGGATAATTCTTTGTTGGGACAGAGGGAGACTGTTCTGTGTATTGTTGGATGTTCAGCAGTATTCCTGGTGCCTAGTCTCATAGTCAAGTCACATAAAACATAAAACTCTGAAATGTTTAAATTTAATTAGAACCTAATTAAAAGTCTGACCTAGGGGCGCCTGGGTGGCTCAGTTGGTTAAGGGACTGCCTTCGGCTCAGGTCATGGTCCCAGGGTGCTGGGATCAAGCCCCGCATCAGGCTCCCTACTCCGCGGGAAGCCTGCTTCTCCTTCTCCCACTCCCCCTACTTGTGTTCCCTCTCTCGCTGTCTCTCTCTCTCTCTCTCTCTATTAAATAAAATCTTTAAGTGATTTTGAAATTCTGTATTAGGAAAGACTAACAGTAAGACAACAAAGAAATCCACAAGAAATAAAGTTCAGGAATATGTGATATATGTTCTGTCTGAGCGATTCTACCCTTTCAAAGTAACAGAAAACACTAGTCGAAGGCAGGGGTTGCCTCTTAGGTAAATCACCGCCAGGTAGATCCCTTCATCTTTGACATCTCCCTGCTTCAGTCTGTTTTCTGCTCTGACCGTAATTAACTCTCTACAACAAATCTAAGCATTCCGTTCCCAGGTTTATTAAAGGTCTTTGATAACTCCCAAATGCCTCAAGGGTGAGTCTAAATTCTTCAGCAGGACAGTCCAGGTCCTTCAGAATTTGGCCTCATTTTATTTTCTAGTTTCATGGCTATACAAATTTCATAGCTGTTACTTTTTCAGCCTGGAATCATATGCATTCTTTTTCCAAACACGTTTCTACTAATCCCTCAAAGCCCAGGTCAATGGAATGCCCTTTATGAAGGCTTGGATTCTGTAAGCAGAATTGATTGTTCCTGCTTTTGAGCTCCTCTTTGTACCTTCTATGTTTCTATGTGTGTATGTGTGCATGTACAATTTAATAGTAAATAAGAACATAATAATAACTAATATTTAAGGTTTACTATGTTTCAGGCATGGTGCATTTATCTCTAATTCTCATAACTAGGAGGTAAGAACTTCCTAGATTCAGATTCAGAAACTTCTCAAAATTAAAGAAATCAAAGAAGACACAGATAAAAGGGAAGATATTCTATGCTCATGGATTAGAAGAATTAATATTGTTTAAATATCCATACTCCCTAAAGCAAACTATAGATTCAACGTAATCCCTATCAAATTCCAATGGCATTTTTCACAGAAATGGAACAAATAATCCTAATTTTGAATGGAACCACAAAAGACCCTGAATAGTCAGAGCAATCTTGAGAAAGAACAAAGCTGGAGAAATCATGCTCTTTAACTGCAAACTATATTACAAAGCTATAGTAATCCGAACAGTATGGTTTCAGGATAAACAGACACATAGATCAATGGAACAAAATAGAGAGCCCAGAAATAAACCCACACATACATGGTAAATTAATTTACAACAGAGGAGTCAGAAAAATACAATTGGAAAAGGACAATCTCTTCAATAATGCTGGGAAAACTGCAAAGCCACATGCAAAAAGAATGAAACTGAACCACTATTGTACACAATACACAAAAATTAACTCAAATGGATTAAAGACTTGAAACCATAAAACATCTACAAGCAAACAAAGGTGGTAAACTCTTTTATTTTTTTTTAAAGGTTTTATTTATTTATTTGACAGAGAGATAGAGAGCACAAGGAGGCAGAGAGGCAGGCAGAGGGAGAGGGAGAAGCAGGCTCTCCGCTGAGCAAGGAGCCCGATGTGGGGCTCGATCCCAGGACCCTGGGATCATGACCTGAGCCAAAGGCAGCCGTTTAACTGACTGAGCCACCCAGGCGCCCCAACTCTTTTATTTTTTAAAGATTTATTTATTTCAGAGAGAAAGAGAGAGAGCAGGGGGAGGGGCAAACGGAGAGGGAAGAAAGAGAGAGAGAATCCTCAAGCAGATTCCCCACTGAGTGCAGAGCCTAATGCAGGGCTCAGTCCCAGGACCCTGAGATCATGACCCCAGCCCAAACCAAGAGCCAGACACTCGACTGACTGAGCCACCCAGGCGCCCCAGGAGGCACGCTCTTTTACATTGGTCTTGGCGATGATTTTTTTGGATTTGACAACAAAAGCAAAAATAAACAAGTGGGACTACATCAAAGTAAAACTTCTGCATAGCAAAGAAAACCATCAACAAAAGGAAAGGCAACCTAATGAATGGGAGAAAATATTTGCAAATCATGTATCTGCTCAGAGTTAACACCCAAGATATATAAAGAACTCATACAGCTCAATTAAAAAAAAAGGTGCTCAACATCTTTTATCATCAGAGAGATACAAATCAAAACCATAATGAGATACTACCTCACATCTGTTAGAATGGCAAGTATCAAGGAGGCAAGAAATAAGAAGTGTTGGCAAGGCTGTGGAAAAAGGGAACCCTTGCACTGTGGGTGGGAAGGTAAAGTGGTACAGCCACTATGGAAAACAGCATGAAGTTTCCTCAGAAAACTGCCATATCATCCAACAATTCATTTATCCAAAGGAAATGAAAACACTAATCCAAAAACATATATGCACATCCATGTTCATGGCAGCATTATTTATAATAGCCAAGACACAGAAACAACCTAAATGTCCATCAATAAATGAATAAAGAAAATGTGGTACATATGTGTGTATTTATAAACAGGAAATTATTCAGCCACAAAAAAGAATAAAATCTTGCCATCTATAACAATATGGATGTACCTTGAGGATATTATGCTAAGTGAAATAAGTCAGACAGAGAAAGACAAATATTATATGATCTCACTTACATGTGGAATCTAAAAACAAAAACAAAAACAACCAAGCTCACAGATACAGATTGGTGGTTGCAGATGTACGGGGTGGGAGGTGGGTAAAATGGGTAAAGGGAATCAAAAGGTACCAATGTCCAGTTACAAAATAAATGTAGAACATAGTGACGATAGTTAATAACACTGTATTGAACCTTTAAAAAAAGTTGCTAGGAGAGTGTATCTTAAAAGTTCTCATTTTAAGAAAAACATTTTTTATAGCTATGTATGGTGATGGATGTTAACTAGACTTGTTGTGGTAACCATTCTGTAATATATATAAATACCAAATCATTACATTGTACACATGAAACTAATATAATGTTATATGTCAATTATACCTCCATTTTTTAAAAAAGCTATTGTGGAAATGCAAATAAAAAAAAAAAAAGAAAAAAAGAAAAGAGGGGTCCTGGCTGGCTCAGTCAGTAAAGCATGTGACTCTTGATCCTGGGGTTGTGAATTTGAGCCCCATTTTGGGTACAGAGATTAGAAGTGTTGAATCACTATATTGTACACCTGAAACTAATATTACACTGTATGTTAATTAACTGGAATTTAAATAAAAACTTTTAAAAAAATCTTGAAAAAAAAAGAAACTTGTTCCAAGTCACAGAGCTAGTACATGGCAGAAGTAGCATATGAGTCCAGGTATTCTAATTCCAGAGTCTGCATTCTGACAGGCTAAATTCTATATTGCAATACTACCTCCTTAGCTTAGAGCATGATTAAAATCCATATGAAATTCTCTCCAACTGAAAAACAGAATATTTGGAATTCAGGTTCAGGTAGTCACTGCTCTCAGATATGAAGTTACCATTTATGTCCAGACTAAACATTCAAATTAATATATTCTCTGAACCGTAAGTAATTAGATTATCATTCTAATGTTATACTAAGTTATCAGTAACAGCCCACACTGAAAAATAAACCACAGTGAGACAGAATTTTCGCTTGGAAAGACAAAATGTATCAAGATAGTAACTGACAGCCCGCCTTCCTTCAATAATTTGATTGAGAACAACGATATTTTCCAAATAGGACACGTCAGTTCCCTTGAAACTTTGCGGAAAATTAAACGTTTCTCCTAGAAACATCAATACTATTCATAAAAAAAGAAGTTAGTATTTTAATTTTGGCTCTCCTCTTGCTTAAACATACTACACAGCTTTTTAAAAACTAAACCTAATTAACTCTTCCTAAAATTGTTTGGATTTTCCTAGCTAACCAGGAACATACACATCATTACAGAGCTACACTAAAATAAAGAGCAATGTTAAAATGATCCAAATGCGTAATCGAAAACGCCTTACATTTTCATTTCTCTTGAGAAGATCATCATCATTGTAAAGAGGCAAGCTGGTCACCATCCATCCAGTGCATAATTTAATCGCACCCATTAACTGTGGACTCCCAGCAAACACAGCTGCAACTGGAGCTTGCCTTCTGTAAAAAGGCACACAGATTTACACACTGAAAAGGTAAGTATACTATTTAGATCACTGATTTATACCAACTCTGAAAGAGCAGGCAACTCAACAATGTATTGCATACTTGAGTTTCAATGTCAGCTTTTACTTCATTTACAAATTCATTAAAAAAAATGGAGCACTTACTATGTGCCAGGAACTATTTTGAATGCTGAAAATACAGAAATTTTTTTAAAGCACGGGGTGGAGACAAGGTCCCTGCTTTTGAGAGAGACTAGAGGGAAGACAATAAACATATAGGCCAGGTGGTAATAATACAATTAAAAAATAATGCAGGGTATATATAGTGACAGGAATTTACTACCTTATATAGTGTAATCAATTCAATGATGATAATGTGAATTCTCAAATTTATCCTTCTGCAAATATTAACCCCCATAACCCAACTTCTTCCCAATCCATCCACCCTCCTGCTTCCTCCCTACCTTTACCATGTACCTGTCTTCAGATAACACATGTAGTTCTCCACTTTGAACCATGATCCAAAGTCCCAGACAGATGCCACTTAAAAAACTAAAAGCAGATCCTGAAGGATTGTCTTTACTTATTTAATCACTTCCTGTATTCAACATTCACCTACAACATGCCAGGGACAATGCCAAGCTCTGGAAATAAAGGGCGGCACACAGCCACTGTCCTCAGGGTATACCCAGTAATGGGGAAACAAATATGGAACAGGATAATTACACCACGGTAACATATATGTCCGATTGCCTGATGCACAATATTCAATGTTCAGGCCCCTGTGCTGGTTTTGAAAATATTGTGATAAATCACACACCCAGATTGAACTTCCTCTTTTGTTAATAACAATGCAAAGCTATATAGTCAGGGTTCCACAATGGTAAATACAATTCACAAAAGATTATTAATGGGCAATAGTTAAGGGTGATCAAAAGAAAACAAATTTTAGACATATGAAGGGTGTATTTACAGCAACAAGACCTTATAATAAGACCAACTCATTTCTATAAACCTATTCCTTATTCTAGAAACATTTTTGTCTCCCCCGCATATTTTCCTGGCTATTTTTGATAGTGTTTCATTCCTTTTTCATGTTTTAGTTTCTTCTTCTATGTCTTAATTTTTTTTAAGATTTTATTTGACGGAGAGAGACACAGTGAGAGAGGGAACACAAGCAGGGGGAGTGAGAGAGGGAGAAGCAGGCTTCCTGAGGAGCAGGGAGCCCGATGCGGGGCTCAATCCCAGGAGCCATCCAGGCACCCCTTAAATAATTTTCAGTGTAGTTATTTCATAGTGTCAACCCATGGGGTAGACTAGTTGCAAACCGGCCGCAATGATTCTTCTCCCATACCTATGCCCTCGGAGCAAATGCTGGTCTTGGTCATGTGACCTGCCTTGGCCAAAAGAACAACATAAAGTGAGCAGACTTTAAAAATGCTTGACATTGGCATCTGTGTTCTTTTGCTGCTCTTGGGAACTCTATAACCACTACCTTGTGAATGAGCCCAGGCTACCTGGCTGTATGACAGGCCCATGGCCAAGTCAATTCCATCCCCTCAGCTGATACCTTTAGACATGTGAGAGGCCATGCCAGGTTACCCAGTCCCAGATCAGCTGGCCCAGGCCAGAAGAATCTTCCCCACTGCCCTGACTCAGCTGACTGTCAAAATGGTACAAAATAACAAATGTTTATCATTTGTAGCCACTAAATTTTGTGGTAGGCTATTACGCATTGAAAACTGACATAAACGAATTTTATTATCAGAAATTGCTAGAGGGGCGCCTGGGTGGCTCAGTTGTTAAGCGTCTGCCTTCAGCTCGGGTCATGATCCCAGGGTCCTGGGATCGAGCCCCACATCAGGCTCCCTGCCATTTATAACAATATGGATGTACCTTGAGGATATTATGCTAAGTGAAATAAGTCAGACAGAGAAAGACAAATATTATATGATCTCACTTACATGTGGAATCTAAAAACAAAAACAAAAACAACCAAGCTCACAGATACAGATTGGTGGTTGCAGATGTACGGGGTGGGAGGTGGGTAAAATGGGTAAAGGGAATTAAAAGGTACCAATGTCCAGTTACAAAATAAATGTAGAACACAGTGACGATAGTTAATAACACTGTATTGAACCTTTAAAAAAAGTTGCTAGGAGAGTGTATCTTAAAAGTTCTCATTTTAAGAAAAACATTTTTTATAGCTATGTATGGTGATGGATGTTAACTAGACTTGTTGTGGTAACCATTCTGTAATATATATAAATACCAAATCATTACATTGTACATGAAACTAATATAATGTTATATGTCAATTATACCTCCATTTTTTAAAAAAGCTATTGTGGAAATGCAAATAAAAAAAAAAAGAAAAAAAGAAAAGAGGGGTCCTGGCTGGCTCAGTCAGTAAAGCATGTGACTCTTGATCCTGGGGTTGTGAATTTGAGCCCCATTTTGGGTACAGAGATTAGAAGTGTTGAATCACTATATTGTACACCTGAAACTAATATTACACTGTATGTTAATTAACTGGAATTTAAATAAAAACTTTTAAAAAAATCTTGAAAAAAAAAGAAACTTGTTCCAAGTCACAGAGCTAGTACATGGCCTGCTTCTCCCTCTCCCACTGCCCCTGCTTGTGTTCCTTCTCTAGCTGTGTCTCTCTGTCAAATAAATAAAATTAAAAAAAAAAAAAAATTGCTAGAGGTCTGAGGCATCTGGCTGGTGCAGTCAGAAGAGCATGCAACTCAAACTCAGGGTCTCATTGGGTGTAGAGATTACTCAAGTAAATTAATAAATAAATAAATAATGGCTAGAGGTCTAATTCTGCTGTTTATCTCAAACAACAGCTGATTCTTGGTATGTTGGACTGTTTCCTCATGTGTTTTGTAATTTTAGAGCTCATCTTCATGAAGTCTTATCTGTGGAAACCTGTGTAGCCTGGGCTGAGAATCTATCAGGCACTCCAAACCACCCCAGGACCACTTTTTATGGTAATTTCTTGACTGGGGATTTCCTGAATTAAACAAGTATAATTTCAAACTGCAAACCCATGTGAATTCAGATCCACTGCTACAAATTCAGAGGAGAGACTTTTTTTGACCAAGAGCTGAAGCCAAGGAAGACATGCTTTCTTATCTTCTTCTAGTACTCCTATGGGTAATTTGTTAGTCTATCCTTTCACTGATACTATAGCCCTCTGAGAGTCCCTTAGTTATATACATGTGTTGGGAGAAGGGAAAAAGGTGTCTCAATTACAATTCACTGCATCCATTGGCCCAAGACCACATCTTCTGTCCTGTGTGGGCATTAAAATATGCATGGGTATAAAAATTAAAATTTTAAATTTTGGTAAACTTGGTTACCAAGACTAGCAATCTACCACTCATCCACCTCCAACCCAGGGCAAAAGAAGCATCCTCTTGACTATCCAAAGGAATATTTGTTCATTTATATTCCACATTTCTAGGTGTCTGATGGCAAGGGTCTCAAATTTCAAACTTATCAATGCTATATTTTCTTTCTTTTTTAAAAAAATTTTTTATTTATTTAAGTAATCTCTACACCCAACATGGGGCTTGAACTCAAGAACTAGACATCAAGATTCACATGCTCTTCTGACTGAGTCAGCCAGGTGCCCCTCAATACTATATTTTCAATGGAGAGTTCAATTAGAAAATTCAAATTATAGGTCCAATCAAAAACTAAATATCCCTAAAAGCCTGGAGGTAAAATTCTGAGTCTTCTGAGAATTTGGAAAAGCATTTATTATTTCCCTTGAGTCAATTAGATAGCATGCAATAATTAATTGTTTAACAACAGTCTTAAAAGCACTTCCATTCTTACTTTATCCAGGTCATAAGTTCCACTGTGTCCGGGTCATAAAATTCTTGCAGTTCCATTAATTCTGTCATTAATCTTGGAAAAAACTAAAATGCAAAACAAAATTTCTGTATAAGTATCCAGAAAGTTTAAAACTGTTACAGAGTATTTTGAAAGACTAAGAGACTAACATAAGACCAACAATACTGAAACATTGTTCTCATGGGAAAAATGTCATGGATCTTTTTACTGTCTTTCAATGAGCAGCTCATCCTTCTCAGTACAAATAATCTAAATAATCTATTTTAAGGTTGCCTGGGTGGCTCAGTCAGTTAAGCATCTGCCTTTGGCTCTGGTCATGATCTCAGGGTCCTGGGATCAAGCCCCACATTGGGCTCTCTGCTCAGTGAGGAGTCTGCTTCTCCCCCCTCCCTCTCCTCTGTCCCCCCACTCGTGCTCACTCTTTCTTTCAAATAAATAAATTCTTAAAAATAAATAAATATATTTTATGTTTAATTTACTGCCTAGACTCAAATAATTTTATCATTACCAAACAATCATCAGTTGTATCTTTCATGCACACAATTAATTAATTGCAGGTAAAATAATTCACAGGTTTACTGGCAATTAGCTTCATGTTACATTACAATAAACTAAAGGATTTATAATATCTTATAAATATTTAAATTTTGGAGTTGCCAAAATACTTTTTTTAAAATTCCAGTGTGGTTAACATACTGTATTATATTAATTTTAGGTGTATAATACAGTGATTCAACAATTCCATATATTACTCAGTGCTCATCAAGATAAGTGTGCTCTTAATCCCCATTTCTTTTTAAAGATTTTATTTAGGGGTGCCTAGGTGGCTCAGTCATTAAGCGTCTGCCTTCGACTCAGGTCATGATACCGGAGTCCTGGGATCGAGTCCTGCATTGGGCTCCCTGCTCCGCAGGAAGCCTGCTTCTCCTGCCCTCTGCCTGCCGCTCCCCCTGCTTGTGCGCTCTCTCACACTCTCTGTAGATTGCTTTGGGTAGTATAAACATTTTAACAAAATTTGTTCATCCAATCCATGAGCATGGAATGTCTTTCCATTTCTTTGTCATCTTCAATTTCTTAAATCATTGTTTTATAGTTTTCAGAGTACAGGTCTTTCGCCTCTTTGGTTAGGTTTATTCCTAGGTATCTTATTATTTTTGGTGTAACTGTACGTGGGATTGTTTTCTTAATTTCTCTTTTGGTTGCTTCGTTCATTATTGGTGTATAGAAATGCAATGGATTTCTGTACAGGGATTTTGTATCCTGTGATCTTACTGAATTCATTTATCTAGTTCTAGTAGTTTTTTAAAATATTTTATTTTTAATATTTAATATTTTTTATTTTTTATATTTATTTTTTAATTATTTATTTGTTTGACAGAGAGAGAGACAGCGAGAGAGGGAACACAAGCAGGGGGAGTGGGAGAGGGAGAAGCAGGCTCCCTGCTAAGCGGGGAGCCCAACAACACAGGGCTCAATCCCAGGACCCTGGGATCACAACCCTAGCTGAAGGCCGACGCTTAACCGACTGAGCCACCCAGGTGCCCCTTTTCTGTTTTTTTTTTTTTTTTTTAAGATTTTATTTATTTATTTGAGAGAGAGAGAGAGAGCATGAGCATGGGGAGGCAAAGGGGTGGTGGAAGGGAAAGCAGAGTCCCTGCTGAGCATGGAGCCATGCACGGGGCTCAATCCCATCATGACCTGAGCTGAAGGCAGACATGTAACCAACTGAGCCACCCAGGCACCCTAGTTCTAGTAGTTTTTTGGTGGAGTTTTTAGAGTTTTCTATATATAGTATCACGTCATCTGCAAACAGTGAAAATTTTACTTCTTCCATACCAATTTGGATGCTTTTTATTCCTTTCTCTGGTCTGAATGCTATGGCTGGACTTCCAACTTCCAGGACTATGCTGGATAAAAGTGGAATGGAAATCCTTGTCTTGTTCCTGATCTTAGAGGAAAACCTCTCAGTTTTCACCATTAAGTATGATGTTAGATGTGGGTTTTTCATGCCAAAATACTTTTGTAATATTATCTCTTATTTATTCAGTAATTTCCTTTGACAATTATAAACTGAATTTTAACAGCATTAGACTACATGCATCACATGGCATTCTAAAAATGTTTTAGCTCTTCTTTTATCTTCCTACTGACAAAAAATTAAGCATACTAAGAATATCACACTTTATGTTGTTCGAATAGTGTCTCAATATAAATATGCTACACGCACGTAAATTTATCACTACCTTGAAGATAAAGTGCCTTTTAATATAAAAATCTGATTTTCTTACCTCTTTCCATAAGCTGAGACCTATTATAGTGGGAACAGCCATACTCAGAATAAGAGCCTAAAACATTGAAACAGAAATGATTATGGATAAATACATATAAGAATGTACTAAAGTATTAGACATTGACTCCATGACCAATCACAGATTCTTATTTATAAAGCTTTCAGTCAGAGAAACTGAAGTCAGTGTGGAACCTAGTTCACAGAGTGAGAATAGTGAAGACTAATGAATTTAAGACATATTAAGCTGGAGATAAAGTGAGACATACATATTTACTATATAAATTAAAGGCAGAGCATAAAAAAGGTAACACTTATAGTATATTTCAAATAACAAATCAATATTTGACAATTCTGCCAGGAATTTAAGTTTAAGAGTTTACAAAGGACATTGAACTGTGCCACCTAAAAAGCTAACAACAAAAAGACAATGAATTAACACAGGAAAAACAGCCAGTATAGGTCGATATACAAGTATGCTAAAATACGAACATATAAATTTCTCTGGAAAAAGACTGGCAAAACACAATATGACTACTACTAAAGATAATTATTCATCACCTCCCTGCCAAAACCTGTTCTTCTTCCTATCGTCCCATGTCTGCTGATGACCCCACAATCCATTGTCACACAAACTAGAGACCTAGGAAATATCTATGATTTCTCCTCCTTCTTTATTCTCCATATTTAATAAAGCACCAAGTCTTATTAACCTTCTTTTCTTATTATTTTTTTCACTCCAGTATAGCATAGTATTAAGTAAATGGGCTCTGGAATCAGAAAAACCTGGGTGTAAATCATGGTTTCCACATTTACAAGCTATATGGTTATTTAACCAGTTTAAGCCTTAGTTTCTTCAACTACAAAATACAGATAATAAAACTTAGCCATTAGGGTCTTTGTAAGCATTGAGTAGCACATGAAATGTTTTGTAAACAGTACCTGACATGTGGTGAACACTCAATATACTGAAGCTTTTATCACTTCCATCCACCATGGTCAGTACTTGGGCAACAGCCTTCTTCCTGGCCTAAGTTTGTCACCCTTAAATCTATCCTTCAAAGAACTATAAGCATAAACTGAGAGAAAATGTAAGTCTGACTCTCTCACACCCTTGCATAAACATTTCAATGCCTTTCTACTGCCTACAGGATAAGACCACAAGCATCACAGCATAATACTCAAAGGCCTCCATGACTCTACCCTCCTAGACTTCTCCAATCTCATTTCTTGACCACCCCCATCTCACATTTTATGTGACAAGGAAACTAAATATACCATGCTTTTTCCTTGCCTCTGCTTTTATTCCCTTTGATTACAACATGTTCTTTGCCTCTCTGTGTTTAGTCCTTCTACCATGAATACCCTTCTTTCCCTTTCATTTGAGTAATAAGTCATCATCTTTCAAATCTCAGATCGAAAACTCTTTGAATCCCTAACAAAATTGAACTAAGTACCCCTACTCTGTGTTCCAATAGCACCCTATCAATACTTCTTATTGTTCGTTTTTATGAATGGGAGACTATAATCTACCTGATGAAATTAATTTGTATTGTAAGCACATTACACTTAATAGGCACAGTAAAAATGTTCTATTTGCATTGAAAACATACAATAGTTCCAAGTCAAACCAAGAATGATATTATAAAAAATAATTCTTAATAGCCTCTAACACTATTGATTCACTTATATTTTTACCTTATTTTTACCTGTCCGCATTTAAATGCATTGCCTTTATAATCAGAAATTACATTAAAAAAAAGTTTTGGGGCACCTGGGTGGCTCAGTCATTAAGCGTCTGCCTTCGGCTCAGGTCATGATCCCAGGGTCCTGGGATTGAGCCCCACATCGGGCTCCCTGCTCCGCGGGAAGCCTGCTTTTCCCTCTACCACTCCCCCTGCTTGTGTTCCCTCTCTGGCTGTGTCTCTCTGTCAAATAAATAAATAAAATCTTAAAAAAAAAAAAAAGTTTTTCACAGGATCCCTTTTTCACCTGCAACTCATAATGTGATTTACTCATGCTATTTCAACTGTATTCAATGTGGTTTCCATTTATATAATTGAAAAAGAAACAAGTACTTAACCCAAAATAACAATGACTCACCAACAACACGGGGTGTACAGTTCGTAATCGAAGCCACTTGAAAAGTGTCACCCAAAGTTCAGGAGAACATACACCAAATGCTGCTAACATACATACATAAGGAGTCCAGAGGTATTTCAAGCTAGAAAAGACAAAAGGAGTCACATATGAGATATCCTATGAACATCATTACTATCTCATTTTCTTTTTTTTTTTTAGATATTTTATTTTTTTAAGCAATCTCTATACCCAACAAAGGGCTCAAACTCACGACCCCTCAAGATCAAGAGCCACAAGCTCCACTGACTGAGCAGCCACACACCCTGGTTCCTCTTTTTTTTTTTTTTAAAGATTTTATTTATTTATTTGAGAGAGAGAATGAGATATAGAGAGAGTACATGAGAGGGGAGAGGGTCAGAGGGAGAAGCAGGCTCCTCGCCGAGCGGGGAGCCCGATGCGGGACTCGATCCCGGGACTCCAGGATCATGACCTGAGCTGAAGGCAGTCGCTTAACCAACTGAGCCACCCTGGCGCCCCTGGTTCCTCTTTTCTGCGTTCTGTCCTACTACCCATGAAAATACCACAATGTTAAGGGAAAATGAAAATCTTAACCGGGGCGCCTGGGTGGCTCAGTCGTTAAGCGTCTGCCTTCGGCTCAGGTCATGATCCCAGGGTCTTGGGATCGAGCCCTGCATCAGGCTCCCTGCTCAGCCGGAAGCCTGCTTCTCCCTCTCCCACTCCCCCTGCTTGTGTCCCCTCTCTTGCTCTCTGTCAAATAAATAAATAAAATAATTTTAAAAATAAAATAAAATAAATAGATAAATAATCTCTAAAAAAATGAATACTAACTTGGACTTTGACAGAAGTAGAGGAAGTATATAGAATACATGTTACTAAGACAAAGGAACTGCATTAGTTTTCTCTGGTCAACTAGTATCTCCTCCCAACTTCCTCATTCCTGCTATTTTTCAAGTTAGCCAGAATCAAAACTAGAGCCTGGTTTATAACTCCAGGAGACACCATTCACGTTGAATTATACATATATAACATTTCCTGGAACATCAACTTCCTGTTCTAGAGATTAGACCATTATGTCCAACCCACTGATTTCTCTGTATTCATCTCATTTTATTGCAATAACGGCTAATTAACATCTCTACCTTTTAAGTTTGTTTGTTTAAGTAATCTCTACACCCAATGTGGGGCTCAAACTTATGACCCTGAGATCAAGAATCGCATATTCTTCCGACTGAGCCAACCAGGCACCCTACCATCTCTACCTTTAGACTCTTCTCCAACCAAATGCCAAATGAATCTTCTTCAAACATAATTACAAGACACTTTCTGTTAAAAAATCTTTAGTGGTTCCCCAGAATCTACTGAAATAAATGAAAACTCATCTAAATGGTTTTCAAGGCCCTCAAAAAATATGGTCTTGATTCACCTTTTCAGTTTTTCTCCTATGACTTCCCTAAATATGATTAGTGCTCTAGCCAGAGTTTGCAGAACAATCTTAGTGTTTCCAACCCCTGATGCACATAAGATTCTCCCTCCGGACACAAGCGCACCCATCTAGTGCTGCCTTAGACTCTGATTCCCTTTATAGCTAGACTCCTTGAAGTCCACACTTACCTCTCTGCCTTCTACTCCCTGGTGCTGTACCCCTTTAAAAACTCCTCTTTTGGCTTCAGAGTTGCAACTCTTCCTAGAGTCTCTCCACCATAGTCCCTATTGCTACTTAGTTTCCAACTCCCAAATATTTTAGTTTTGGCTCTTTTCTCCATTTCCATTGTGACTCACTTCTAAATTCTATTATGATTCTTAACTGGCTTATCTTCCTTTAATCTTTTTTCTCAAACCTTTCTCAATCATTGCTGCCAGAGAGATCTTACTAAAAAGCAAATCTGATATCAAATTTCTATATAAACACTTCATCTGGTCCCTGCTTATTTTTCCAGACATAATTCCTTTTTTTTAAGATTTTATTTATTTGAGAGAGAGAGAGCAGGAGTGGGGGGTGAGGGACGGGCACAGGAAGAAGGAAAAGCAGGCTCCCCACTGAGCAGGGAGCCCGACGTGGGGCTTGATCCCAGGACCCTGAGATCGTGACATGAGCCGAAAGCAGACATTTGACCAACGGAGCCACCCAGGCACCCCCAGACATATTTCTCATACTGACCTTACATTCACCTTGTACTATCAGTTCCCAAAGAATATTTATTCTGTCTAGATAATTACTTACACACACACACACACACACATACAGAGGCACATGAGAAAATGGACAGCCTGGCCAATCTCTATTTATCTCTGAAGGCTGTCGCCCCATATAGGAAATCTTCCTTAAACTGACTTCCTCTAGCCACCCTCTGCAACTGAGTTAGTACCTCTCCTCTGAGTGACCAAAGCACCCTTTGTATACCTTTCTCATAGTATTTACTTTGCTCTAACTCTTGGTTTACTTACCTAGGATAGGAACTCTTTGAAAAGAAAGAGTAGATTTTGTATTTTTTTTTAAAGGTTTTATTTATTTATTTGACAGAGAGAAACACAGCTAGAGAGGGAACACAAGAAGGGGGAATGGGAGAGGGAGAAGCAGGCTCCCCACGGAGCAAGGAGCCCGATGCGGGGCTCAATCCCAGGACTCTGGGATCATGACCTGAGCTGAAGGCAGATGCTTAACGACTAAGCCACCCAGGCGCCCCGGTTTTGTATTTCTTTAATCCCTACTCTCTACTTAGTAGAGTGCCTGGCACCTTCTGGGTGACTATGCATCTTATTTGTATGAATAGGTGATCTACAGTATTATAAGCCTAGTGAGTAAATTAAAGAAGGATGAATAATAGAACAATGCAGATTACATGTTCAGAAAAAGGATTTTGAATTTAAAACAGTACATCCAACAATAAAGAATGGTGGCAATAACAAAAAGTTTTTCTGCAGAGAGAAATAAAACTGAGAGAGTACAAAGGAGAAAAAAAAAAAGGCAAACCATGCACCAAAATTCTAGTACTACAAGGCAATGAAATGAAAATCAAAACGTAAATCACTCAGAATATTCATGGCTTAATACATTTCTTCATCCCTATGGAACCACAAGAGACCCTGAATAGCCAGAGGAATATTGAAAAAGAAAAGCAAAGCTGGCAGCATCACAATTCCGGACTTCCAGCTCTATTACAAAGCTGTCATCATCAAGACAGTATGGTACTGGCACAAAAAC